ATCGGATTATATGATTATTTCGGTAACAATGAGTCAAAAGTGAGAATAATAGCTCCAAATATGCCTGACTTTGAGATAACCCGACAATCAATGGGTTTCTGGCACTCAAACGAAGAAAGGTCTCAATTTATAAGAGATTTTTTGAAAGCAATAAATGTCTGCAACATTGATGCTCTTATTAGTCATTCATCGGGAATACATCCCATTTCCATGATATGGTCTCAGGTATAATAACTTATTATTGCCAAATCTGCAATAAAATGCTAGTTATTAATATAGATGTTTTAAAATTAATAGCCACAAGACTTATCAATCAAATCAATTGGTATGTTTTGTCCGCAACCGCTTTGGTTTTCAAAATATTATTATTTTGTCGGCAAATTTTTTACAAGATTTGCACGAAATAAATACGGCATTAAATTAATGGAAATTATAAAATTGCATTCATTTGTTAACAAATTCTACTTTGCAATGTCGTACGAAAACGTGGGACAAGTACTTCAGATGATGTTGTTTAGCACTGGAGCTCAGCCACAACTACTTCATCAGCGACTCAATTATCTGAGAGATAATAAGATTCCGACTCTTGTGGTACTGGGAGACGAAGATGTTATTCTGGATAAACAACATATCAAACGGTTTGTTGAGGACTTAGGCGCCGATTATAGGGATTATCGGGTTTATAGAGACGACAAATCTATTGAAAAGGATTTTGAACACAAAAATTGGATTCAATTGGTGTTAATAAGAAAAGGCAGACATTTCTGTTATAACCGATCCAGTGATGTGGTCAACAAACATGTCGAAACTCATTTATTGTCATCCAGTTAATTGTTATCTTAATATTACTAAACCAATAAATTATATATCTCCCAAAATTCATAAAATAAATGAGACTTTTTATTATATTTCATTATAAACTTTTTAATACTGAATGTACATAAGGTAGTGACAAACAGTGATTACTTCCAACAATTGTTTATCAATTTAAATCATAATTAAACTTGGTATATGGTCTACAATGCAAAATGTATATAAATTAGTTAAAATTTAATTAAGTTATAATCTGTAATACAGATTCTGTATACCGTTATAGTGTACTGCAATGCTGACAACAGAATAGCATTAACTCAATGAATGTAATGCTAGAGTGACACTAAAACCACAATCAAATGAACCAAATATATGTTTTATTACTAATAATAAGAATAAAATATATTGGACGGCATTAAAACCAGTTTTAATGATAAATAATCAAAATTAAGGTCAACTAATGCTTATATACAAGAATATAAGTATTAAAAGTATATCCGACGATAGCTCAGTTGGTAGAGCGGAGGACTGTAGTAGCAAATGCTGATATCCTTAGGTCGGTGGTTCAAATCCGCCTCGTCGGACATTATTTTTGGCATTATTTTTATTTTTTTTTACAAGGTTTGTCACTAATATTTCCAATAATTTACTTTTTATTGCAAATATAATTGCATAAGTCAAATAAAATGTCTTCATTGGATTAAAAACATTTTTTATACAAATTATGAAATCAAGTTTAATTAAATATAATATAAACGTAGTACACTAAGCTAAACTAATGTGTACAGTATTACATTATGATATCATTTAAAATTTATCAGTTTTGATAAAAAATATTTTATTGCTTTTTATATCACAAATCATTTGATATTTGATATAAACAAATATAATGAAAATTTGTAATATTGTATGATATGAGAGCACTTTAATTT